AAAGACACTGTGTCTCTTTTGAGCTCCAGAAATATGGAATAATGCAGATAAGGATTATACTTTGGATACCTACGTGCACTGGGAAGAAACTTTTTCACATCAAGAATGACTCCCCACTGTGACTATGCACTGTAGGATTAATCTCCATCACAAAACTTTATGTGGGTTTGTGGATTTAAGTTAGAGTCTTAATCACTTTCAATGTATTTGATTAGTCTTGGCAGGTAACCAAAGCACACTTGACTAAACAATCATAGATGACTGTCTTAATTATGGGTATGGATAGTAAACAATATGCCCTTTCCCTTCTGAAAGGGCATAGATATGCACTTTTCTTGCTTTAAAGCTTTTACAGATAGTAACATTTAAAGAAAGGCAGTCTAGTTGTCATCTTTACTAACAAGGTGCAACTTTACTAATTGCAACTTTTGCACCATCAACTTTAGCAATGTACAGTCATGACAAAAATAAAATGCACCCTCTTTGAATTCTGTGCTTTTACATATCAGGACATAATAATCATTTTTTCCTTAGCAGGCCTTAAAATTAGGTAAATGAACAACACCACATGAACAACACCACATGACATATTATACCGTGTCATGATTTATTTAACAGAAATAAAGCCAAGATGGAGAAATCATATGTGTAAAACTACACCCTTAGTTGTTCCATAGAAATTAAGAGGGTAAGTAACAGACAGGGGCTGCTAATCAAATGCCTTTGCTTAACTGATAATCAGCAAGTATGCCCACCTCTATAAAAGCTGAAGTTGTGGCAGTTTGCTGGTCTGGAGAATTCAGGTGTGTTTTAACATAATGACAAGGAGGAAAGACGACAATGCTTTTAGAGAAGCAAGTGCTGCTGCCCATGAAACTGGGTTCTAAGGCTATCTCCAACCAATTTTAAGTCCATCATTCAACCAATTTTAAGTCCATCTGAGAAAGATGATTTAAAAATGGAAAACATTCAAGACAGTTGCCAATCTTCTCAGGAGTGGTCGTCCCAGAAAATTCACCCCAAGGTCAGACCGTGCAATGCTCAGAGAAACTGCAACAAAACCCCAAGTGTTACATCTCAGGCTCTACAGGCCTCAGTTACCATGTTAAATGTTAAAGTTCATGACAGTACAATTAGAAAAAGACTGAACAAATATGGTTTCTTTGGAAGGGATTCCAAGAGAAAGCCTCGTCTCTCTAAAAAGAACACAGCAGCATGGCTCTGGTTTGCAAAGTTGCACCTGAACAAAGCACAAGACTTCTGGAACAGTGTCCTTTGGACAGATGAGACCAAAGTGGAAATGTTTGGCCATAATTCACAGCCATGTTTAGCAAAAACCAAACACAGCGTATCAGCACAAGCACCTTATACCAGCTGTCAAGTACAGTGGTGGAAGGGTGATGATTTGGGCTTGTTTTGCAGCCACAGGACCTGGGAACCTGGTGGTCATTGATTCACTCACAAACTCCTCTGTATACCAAAGTATTCTACAGTCAAATGTGTGGTCATCTGCCCAACAGCTGAAGCTTGACTAAAACTGGGTCACGCAACATTGGGTTATGCAAGAGAGCTGTGCATAAACAAATTTCAATGAACTGAAGCAACCTTACAAAAAAGAGTGGGCCCAAATTCATCTACAACAACGTGAGAGATGGATAAAGTCCTACAGGAAACAATTGCTTCATGCTATTGCTGCTAAAGGTGGTTCTACAAGCTATCGGATCATAAGGTGTAGTTTTTCACACATGGCTTTTCCATTTTGGCTTTATTTCTATTCATGACACAGTGTAATATATCATGTGTTGTTGTTCATCTGAGGTTGTATTTACCTTATTTTAAGACCTCCTAAGGAACAGATGATTGTTATTATGTCTTCATATGTAAAAACCACAGAATTCAAAGAGGGTGTGCTTTCTTTTCCCCATGACTCTATGCAGCAAAAGAACTGGCCACAAGGAACGTATCCAGAGACTCCTTCAGGAAATGAGGAATGAGTGTGCATAGAGGGGAGCAGGCCCACCCCCATCAGCCCTGCCCCCAATGCTCCTACCCCTAGAGGAGGAAGATTCAGGGCTTTGCACATTGAATGAGACATGCTAGTCAACAGGCATGCAAAGCAAGGGTAGAAACGACTGTCCTGAATTGTTTATGGTTTTATGGCAACATGTAACACTTCACACACACACACACACACACACACACACACACACTGTATATGGGACAAGGCAGTTGGAAATGTATTTGCTTTTTAATCAGCTAAATATATTGCCTGGTTATATCCCCATAAATTCAGTGCCTTTAAACTGCTGACATATTGACTTTTTAAATTGTCTTTTTCATTATCCAAAACGGAGAAGGTTGGCACTCTCGCAAACAATATGTTTTGGTTTCCTATGAATTAGGTGACATAAAACCAATAAAACACAGAAAGTAGTCATGTATCATCATAGCTATATAGTACATTTCTAAAAATACATGTTTCTCAAATTTTCAAGCGGTCGATAAATTGTATCCAACGCCAAACGTCAGCCTGCTGCATGATGGGAATTGTGAACTCACCTCTGCTCGCAGGCTGATAGCATATAACTTACTTCAAATAGTTTTTCTTTTCTTTTTTTCAGGCAGGCAAATGAGAACATTTTGCATTCTGGGTATAACAAGCTTTACATAATTTGTTACAAGCAATAAAAACTAGAACTCAATAACAACATCAACTGCTGTTTAGGAACGAATACTTACAGTGGCAATCAAAAAGGGAACTGGCTAGAAACCTTATCAAAACAATATGGTTAACAGACCCAAAAATGAATTCAAACACAAAGAAATCACATATGCCTCTGTCTTATGATCAATAGTTAGTACACATGCAATTAGAACAGATCTGAATAGACCCACTAAACTGAATACCACATTCTTTAACTTATATACTAACTGCCGTATACCAAACCCAATAGGAGGTACGATACCTGAAGCAGCGTCTCCACCCCCGTCATTTAGTCCAGAAACTGAGATGAAGCACTGAGGACCTTCTGGCAGTTCCCTCACGACAAAAAGTAAGTTACAGGGAACCAGACAGAGGGCCTTCTTGATAGTGGCACCCGCCCTGTGGAATGCCCTCCCATCAGATGTCAAGGAGCTAAGTAACTATACAACCTTCAGATGACATCTAAATGTTGTATAATTACTTAGCTCCTTGACATCTGATATAGGGACATTTTTTAATGTGTTGCATCTTTTTATATTTTTATATATGTTGGAAGCCACCCAGAGTGACTGGAGCAACCCTGTCAGATGGATGGGGTAATGATAATAATTGCCTTTGTGCTGATTAAGGCTGCACAATGGCGAGTGGGCTGTGTGTGGATCAATGGATGTACAGCATGGTAAATTCTGTTACTTGTAACAGAAATGTGTATTTTCAATTGAAAGAGTTAGAACACTCCCTCAATACTATGTCCTGGTGGAAGCATGAAAACTAAGGCCTAGATCCTGACCTGAAGCCACGTGGTCAAATTCTGAACCTGGCCTAGTCTGCTTTCTCTAGTCCCAACCAGCCTTGCCTAACCTATTTTGGCTCTCCAGTTCCATTCCCCTTGACAACAACAACAACAACAACAACAAAACAACAACAACAACAACAACAATTCTCCACACAAGGGAACATAGGATGCTGCATTACACAGTATTGAGCCAAACCATTGGCCCATTTAGCTCAGCACTGTCTACACAGTCCAGCAGCAGCTCTCAGGGGTTTCAGGTAGGAAGTATTTCCAAGGCCTACCTGGAAATGTCAAATATTGAACCTTTAGAATGCAAAATATATGTACTACCCCGGAACCAGTTTCCTCACAATTCCCCCTGTGCTGTTTGCCAGCCTCAATGCAATGCAGGTAACACTGAGAACATTAAAGTGAAGAGGGCACTGATGAAGACCAGCACATAGTCTGCACTGGCTGGGTGTAGAAAGGACAACTTCCCCTTTGCTCCTGAGAGTGAGCAGCCCTTGGTCTGCTCTCTCTCCAAGCACTTTCATTATGACTTCAGACCTGTGAGAAGAGACTTGAGTCTGAAGTCAGAGCTTCACTGGAGTCAAGCCCAGGCACAGTGTTTGTAAAGCTCTGGTCAACATGGGAAGAACCCCTTGGGACTGAGACAAGAGGTGGAAGATCTAAGTAGCTTGTTGAAGGCCTCATGGTGAGTTAATGGTAGAGGCAACATTTAAGCAGGGGAATGACCTTGGTCTCTTTGCGATGATGCTATGCTTGTACTATTTTCATTGTATATTAACTGCACTATTTTATATGCATTTGTAGTAATTATTTCTAAACCATTGATTATATATGATCCATTATATATGAACACTTAAGTTATTACTATGATGCATTTGTGAATCTCAGTAAATAATTCATTAATTCTGGGTGTAAATTTAAAGATCACTACACGATCAAAATTTTCAATAGTCCATTTTAAGGAAGTCAAATGTTCAGTAATTAGCAATTCCAATGTAAAGGAATGTTGTTGTTTTGAAATGCTAGATTCTAAATTATTTATTTTACATGTGCCAGGATTTATGTTGATTCACTAGGTATCTGAACTGTGACTGTGATAAAAACTGACACAACTGAAAAGGAGGCTGTGATATATGTATTTGCAAAACTTATTCAGTAGCTATACTAATAATTATTTTTTCTTGGCTGAATTCACACAATATTGATTTTTGCTCTGCTCTGAGTAACCTCTCTTTTAATGTAATTCAGCTAAATATCTGGATTGGTAAGGAACCAATAAATCAGAAATGACGTAAATAAGGTCCAGAGGTACTTAACAAGATGCAGATCCAACAATCACTAGGGTAAACATTGATTTGTATTCCAATATGCTTGTGACCTCTTTTGCTCATCCTTGATGTAGTGGCAAACCTTGTTTACGCCAATACAATTCTCAAGATGTTACAGTGTGGTTTTGCTTTGCTTCCACAGCGTTCTCCAAATGCACTATACCTGTGAAACCAGGAGCACAGACACATTGATAGCCGCCAGGCTTGTTGAAGCAGCTTCCTCCATGCAAGCAAGGAATAATTTCACATTCATCCACATCCAGCTCACAGAGCGACCCATAGTAACCAGTTGGGCAGTGGCAAAGGAACCTATTATGATGCGGATGAGGAATAACTTCAGTGGAGAGCAATGAACAATATCACTTTTATACTAGATCAAGCTGCCCATTATATCTAAGTGTCATGCGTACCACATCCACATCAAAATAATCACAATGATATCCCCCTCCACATTTTTGATTCCCCACCATCCACCACAGAATTCATTTCTAAAAGCACTCACTCCACACCCAATATTCATAGGAGCTATAATATTTAGATAACACATTGCTAGGCAGAGTGAGTATGGTCCTGAAAAGGAATGCATGAAGTATCTGTGCTTTTCTGTCCTGGGCTGATTGTAACAGCTCTTACTAGTATTATATGCACCATTACGTGCATAATATTGTATGCATATTATAGGAATATAGATTCTAGATGTCCTAAAGTAACAACATAAAAAGATTTCTACAACTTTGGTATTAATTTTGTATTTTGTAGTAATACTTATTTAAATTCTATTCTGTATGTAGCATAATCTTATAATTAACACAGAGAGCTTGACTCTTATGTATATTATACATATGATATACATACTTTTCAATATAAATTTGCATCATTCACAAGCGGCTCAGAAATTCCAATGTGGGAAAAGCTCTATTGGATTGGACCTGCCCAATTCCTGATTCTCCTTCCATTCTTACTTGCAGAGCGCTTTGGAAATTTAAGGGCTGCCTAGCACCAGAGATTGTACACCTCTTACTACAATACCTTTATAAAGCCAGAGTTTAAGTATGTAGTGAAAGGTGAATCTAGCTTCCTACCTATTTTTGTTCATGCAGTTCTACATCAACAGTCAATTGAAAAGCAGAACAATTTTTATTCTATTTTTAAAAAAACTTGATTCACTCACAAACCTGTTTATAAGATCTATGCATGTTCCACTGTTTGCACAGGGATTTGAGGCACACTCATTAATCTCCACTTCACACCATGTCCCAGAAAAGCCATCTCTGCAGAAGCACCTGGAGAGAAGAATGACATCTAGTGAGCTACAAAAAATCTTTAACATCCAAATAAAGAAAGAGAATGAAATGGGTGTGTGAGGGGGGGGGAGCGTAATATTTGTTCATATTTCCTTGGTTGGCGCACCATTTTAGAAAATAGACAAGTTGGGAAGGTCTTGTGGCAGAGCGCTTGATTATAATGATCACAGTCATGCACTGGATAATTCAGCAGCAACAACATTATCCACAAATCACCTAAAATCACATGAGCTCCAATCCATTGTCTCTGTCTGAAAGTGTTCCCAAGTCAAATCTAGCAACGTCATTCCCTTGGGCTGTTTTTCCTCACCTGTAACCGTTAACCCCATCCACACAGTGACCTTGATTCTTACACGGGCTGGAGATGCATTCATTGTTGTCAATTTCACAGTAAGCACCTTCAAATCCTGAAAGATAGATGAAACAGGTATGGATCAGTGATTTCGGCTAGTCAGTTTGAATGTCAGGATCAGTGATAACAAAGGCCCAGGTGAATGCCTTCCAAATGGAACTTGAAAACACTCGAAGCATTTTTTATCCTTCAAACCTAATGGGCAATGCTTCCCCTCGAAGAATACCGGCACATCTAATAATGCTTGAGCACAGAGGCACAAATAGGAGTGAATGCAAGAAATGAGCATCTGGTTAACTCTACTGGGGAATTGAGCCGGGTTTAAAAGCTTGGAAATGCTTCATCAAAAAGAGGGATGCTATACTATCTCAAAACGCAAGGCAAATCCACTGCATGACAAGTTTTAATCTATCATTTCAGTAGTGACCAAACAAAATTTCTCTTCCTCTGCTCCATAACCCATTTCCTCTTAAACATCACAAGGGACAGTGGCTTGAAATGGATGCCATAAGCTTTTAATAGATGACACATTCATCTTCAGAAGGCTCGGGCTTTATATTTACCTATTCAAAACATTTATATATTCAGAACATTGGTATACCACCCCTCATACAATATAATTCCAGAGTAGAAGTGTTAAGTATATATAATAAATACATATCATGAAATATTAAGATACACAATAAAACCATAATATTAGCAATAATCGGGTGTATGGGGTGTTAGGGGAGGAGTAGCACCTCTTGTGGGGGGACATGTTGTGCTCCTTCTGGGGTAGCTTGTCAACCTTTGGTCCCCACACTGCACTTAGCTCTCACCTGTGGTTCCTAGAAGCTGTCAGCATGCGGCAGCAGCCACACCCCAGTAAACAGCATTGACTGACCAGCTAAACCAGGTGAGGATAGATGATGGGTCTCAAACCCTCAGTGAGTTAAGGACTTCCCTTGCATGTGAAGACAGGCTTCGGCGGATTGAGCAGACAAGACCAATATTGGGTCCAACAGTCAAGATGCTGGTTTCTGCATGTGCTGTAGAGGGAAGTGAGGGGGAAATGGGGCTTGTCAAGCTGGGAAGGTAGTCCATCTAGAAGAAGGAAAACCTCCACTGCCTTGCAGGATATCTTCAGGAGAACATAAGGCTAAGGAGCAAAGTCTACACAGGGAGCAAACCCGACACAAATCTGAAGTGAAGCCCCCAAGACGGTAGTAGGATAGCACTTTGTATTCCATACTTCCAGCAACTCCTGCAGCCAAGCTGGTGCCAAACATATTGCAAGGCCAACAGGGAGGTCTTGTTGGCTGGGCAGCCCAGGCTTGCACCTTGCTGAGGTCACTTTGGTGCTGCTAACACAGCAGTTTGACTTCACTCCCGGAGGCACGCTCCATCGTCTCTTGAGACAGATGGATGCCAACAGCTAGCAGTAATGTAAGACAACAGATAAAAACATATACTAGGCTAAGGCACCAAATAAATTACAATGTGCGGGGAGATGGAACGTTTGAACCACACACACCACTTTAGAGAGGGCATTCCACAGCTACCCAGAAAGCTCTCTCCTTTGTTGCAACTTGGAGAAGGGCTTCAGCCTATATACACTGTTGGGCTTTGCTGCATCCACTCTAGAGGAATGTTTTTCTTACAACTTCTGCTCTGTTTAAGTGCTGCTATGTGACAAGTCCCATCACTACGCATTGCTGGAGAAGTGGGGGATCTGTTTCGATTCCTGGATCCTATGCCACTTCAGCAACATCTGCAAAGAGTAATCATAGCTTGGGTTGGGGAAATGCTTCCACTGCCTGTTTCGCTAGCCCCAGGAAACTGGGATGAGAAGGAACCACATAGGTCCCACAAGGTTCTTCTTTCTAGACATTACTGGGGGGAAAACATGGGACCCAGCTATGCTGTAGTAGTAATCAGTCATTTGGACTTATTTGGGAGCAAGCAAAAAGAGTTTCATTAGATCTCACTTTGATTATTTAAAGGAAATGTTAAGCATGGCTTTTACAATATGTACTGAGGATAGTGAGTTCTGTCACCTGACCATGTGATTCATCAATAATACACCACCAAGTGGAGCCCTTTTGCTGTGATATTAATTGCATTTGTGCAGTGGCTCTTGCATTTTTAAAAGAAGATCCTGCAATTACTTTTGCCACACTAGTGGTTTGATAAAGTGCCAAATAATAAAGCCAGCACTTAATTAAACTTGATATCAATGTTGGATACCTCATTCATTAAGACAGCTCTAGACCAGGCAGGAGGAACTTGTGGCCTCCAGATGTTGTTGAACTACAGCTCCCATCGCTGTAGTCGGGTTCAACAACATCTGGAGGGTCAGAGGTTCCCCATCTCTGCTCTAACAACTAGTGAAGTCCTGTGATACTCATTCCATGCAATCACATTGTTTCTGCTACTCTGCCATTTTCAGAGTTGTCTGAATCAGTTCCAGCAGCATAAAAAGCTGCTGGAGATCTAATAATTTATCTTGGAAGATGCTGGTCTAACTAAAAAAAGAGCTGAGACTGGGCCAGAGAAGCTAAAACATATTGACAAAAGAGCATTCAAAGTTCAGGGTAGTGTGCTTTATTGTTACTAAGTAGCAAACATAGGGAGATAATCTCCAGTACTAAGTCAGTACTTCAGCATGAAATGACATTCCTTCAGGTTCTTTTCATCTAAAGTGGGCCTTCTAAAATCTATTTCTGAACAATATAAAACTAAGTAATGCCATTCTTATCATGGAGGCATGCAATCTCTGATACAAACACACACAGAGAAAAGCAATATATATTATCTAATAGATTTCGTTCTCCACAACTTTGGAAAATATGGCAGATTTACTTCTTGCTATTTTGTCAGCAACCCATGGCACACATTCCTCTTTAGACAAAGGCACTTGTTACATTTACTGCTCCATCTCTGGGCCCCACAGAATGAAGACTTGAACACAGGCATCAGAAATCAGGATGCAGATCTCAATGGTATGTTATTTTCCTATTTACTTCAATGAGGTTTTTTTAGAAAGAAAAAGAAGAAAACAAACAAACATGAAAAGGCTTAAGGGAATGCAGCCCCACTTTCCAGTATCATTGTACCATTGAGAGACTGGATCACACCAAGCTACCCTGAGGACACTTACAACGAACTGTTCCCTAAGAGTGTTTCCTTTAATCCACAGCATCCAGTTCTCAGTGCTGGAAAAGACAGTGATTGTCCCACCTCAGATTTCTGGATGAATTAGAACAAGGTTGGGGAGTGCTTGCCCCTCCGGCAAGGGCTGGTTTTGCTCTGGGAAAAGTGGTCAGGGGCAAGTGACCATGGTGGCTGGGCCAACTGTGGAAGGAGTGGAATGACAGCAATGAGCCAGCGAGGTGAAACAGGGTGTGGTCTGTGAGGATGCAGATGCAGCATTGTGGCACACCCCCACCTCGGCATAAGACACGCCACAGCGTGTCTAGCTGCCATGCCCACTCTCTGACCTTTGCCTCCCTCGCAGAAAGCTTTGCTTAATGTTCCACCTGGCTGGAGCATGTCAAATGATGCAGACTTTCGGGTATCAGGGGAACATTTGGGGAAAACACCTGTCTGACACGTGTATCGCTAATGCTGGAAATGTGCCTTGCTGGAAATATGTTAAGTTCAGGGTAGTTTCACTACTGTTTCCAATTGTTGACTTCTGCTAATAAAAGGAGCCTCTGCAGAGCTAGCCGGCAGCTTGCTTGGAGCTTGCTTGCTTGCTCCTGCACAGCTCACATGCATTCAACTCCTGTGCCATCCTCTGTTATTTCTACAGTGGTCTAAGGAGAGGGGTCCGTAGAGAGTGCCAGGGATGGATTTGACCCATGTTCTGAAAGATCCCCATGCTGGGTTCAAGCAAATAAACTGTGAGATGACCCATGCCAGTGGCCTAGTTCACAGAATCATAGAATTACCTGTATGGGTTCAACACAACATCTAAAAAAAAAAAGACCCTTACAGCACTTCCAGACTATCACTCTTTCCAGGTGGGATTCACTGTCCTGCTGGCAAGTTTAGATTATACAACTAAGGTTGATTTGGCACTTCTGGGCAACAAACCCCACTTCCTTCCAAAATCGGACTTTTTGCAATAAGGAAAGTGACAGGAAAATGCACTGGCAAATGTTCAGTAACAACTGCTTGATGCAACATCATATAACCTCCTCAAAACATATCAGAATGAATGTTCAACAGTCATCAACACTCCCTGCAAACTTTGAGCAAACAAATCAAGATGAACGCTTCATAAACAGGTAATCTGGAAGCGACCTTAGATTCCTAAAGGAAAATACTACTGATCGCTTGGGTGAATACAGAAATTAGGAAGAGGCCAGCCAGCTAGAGCCAAGTTTCAGGTTAATTTAATGTGATCTAGCAAAAAGAAATGAGAACTGACTGGGCATTTTCTCTCTCTTTTCAAAAAAGTCTCTATCTGCTACTTAAAGCCGTTTAACACATTTTTAAAATGTTAGCAACATTATTACAAATTAACATCATCAACTGCAATCAATTTGCAGCTTTCAAAGTATTTGCACAAAGCAAATCTTCAAAAAGCATCATAATGTAAATGCTCGTTCATGTATTGGGCTAGAAAGAAAGTTCACTCATTTAAGTTATAAAACAGAATGATTTTTATTTTTCAGCAAGCTGTTTTGTAAATTGGCATATTAATTGGGCGCCTAACAAATATACATTTAGTGCTAATGTATTGCTATGGTAATGATATTTAGTAGCATGTGTACTAGAATAATAGGCACATTTAAATGCAACTGCTTGCTGCTGGTGGTCATGCAGATCAGTCTAGCTAGGGATACAAATTATAAATCAATAGTGCATGGAAATGATCTGATACAGCCCTGGAGAACAACACTTCTTTTTTTATATATTTACACAAGGTGGCTTTTTCACATTTCCCAGCAAAGTCGCATATTGCTCAGAGGAAACTCTGGGATATTTTCAGTCTGGCGTTTCTGATGGTTTGACCTTGCAGCCTTTTCTGTTGAGTAAACAGGAACTGCCTACTGAATTTACACCAACCTTGTGAACCGCTGCATGTAAATATTTACCTAATCAATAGCAAACAATAAATAGCAGGTTACTGCTTGCAAAGCATTGGCAGAAGACAAAATACCACTCACGTTATCACATACTGCATTTCTCAGAGAAAAGCCCCAAATACCTCTTGAAGTACCTAGAGTTTTATTCCTGATGTTAAAACGGGATATTCCCCACCAGGAGCACTGCAAATCAATCTTGATGCATTCCTTTTACAGCATGTACAGTATTAATCAATTGCAAAAGGACCCAAGTTGAGTTCTGCTGGATCAAAGGCCCAGCATCTTGTTAGTCAGTGAGATGTATGTGGGAACCCACAAGAGATCTCCCTCACTGGACTCTCCTGCTTGTGCTTCCCATCAACTGGTGTTCAAGGGCATACTACCTTGGATACTGGAAGTAATTTATTACCATCATGACTAGCAGAAAGGATAGCTGCCATTTTCAAATTACGAGGGCCCCTTTCCAGTTGTATGGAAGGCTATTATCACATCTATTTTACATCAGTTCTGCCCTACACAGGGCCCTCCATATGTTGTTGGACTACAATTCCCGTCACCCCTATCCAGCATGCCCAATGGTCAGGGATGATGGGAATTGTAGTCCAACCACAGAGGTTGCCACATTGGGGGAAGGCTGCTTTCCAAACATGTCATAGCATTCAAATGAGGCTCCCTGGAATTCATGCCATCTGACCTGGTAACCCTTAGCATGGCTAATGCTACCTGCACATGCTCATAGGCTCCTTCCTTTCATTTCCTTGTGCTCATGGTATTTTTTGAAGAAAAGCATCAGACAGTAGCGCCTTGGCATGCCCTATTTTGTTCTGCTCTTCTCTTTACACCTTTTCTTTTCGCCACTTGCAGCAAGTCTAGAATTTCAAAGATGGGACTGAAGCTGCTTTGGCTTCCAGGCAGGGCCATTTTTTGTCTCAAGATGCTTTCACAGCAGTAGCAGCATTCCCTTCTGGTTTGCATCCAATTGCCTTCATTGGAGATGGCACAGAAGAACTTGTGCACGTGCACAGAAGAAAGCCCAAGCTGACACTGCCTCCATCTCCCCCTTTAAAACTGTTGCTGCTCCATTTTCTGACCCAGCATGGCACATTAAGGGGATGTTGTGTTTCACCCACCCATCCAATAGCACCATCAGCCTCCTTCTCACTCCTCAGACACACCCTCTTCTCTGTCCCTTTTCTTGCTGGTGGTCTTCACTTGGACTGCCGGCTTCCCTGGAGGTCATGCTCAGCTCCCCTTCTGTGATAGCTGAAATGCTCTACCTGGCTGGATCAGGACTCCTCAGAAGAGCTAGGGGTAGCAAGCTTCTATACAGTGGATGCTCGGGTTGCGAATGTGATCTGTGCCGGAAGCACATTCACAAGCCACAGCGTTTGCAACCCACAGTGCCGCGTCTGTGCATGCGCGGGTTGCAATTCAGTGCTTCTGCACATGCACAAAGTGCGATTTAGTGCTTCTGCGCATGCACAACTGCTGAAACCTGGAAGTAACCCATTCCGGTACTTCCAGGTTTCGGCGCGTCCGTACCCCCCCCAAAAAAACGCAACCTGAAGTGTCTGTAACACGAGGTATGACTGTATTCAAAAAGGCCTTTATAATCATCACACCATGATCCCTGTGCTCCATATTACTGCCAAAGCCGGGGGGGGGGGACATTTGCAATGGAACCATGGAATCCACGAGCCATGTAGTCACATGCAATGAAAGCATACAGCAACCAAACCATGTTGTTCTTGTCTCTCAGGTTAGCAGCTTCCCCTTTGCCAGTCTGAAGCCTCTGACCGGTCCCCACTCTTATCCTGATTGATCATTGACTATTTTGGATGCCGGATGAAGGTTCAGAATAGAATGCAGCTCATTTGGCACCGGCGGCCTAATGTACACACCACTGAGTGTTGGTAGGACTGGGAAATGTCTTGCGCCAAACTTTATGCTCACACTGTTTAAAACAGTAATTCAGAAGGCTACAAAATCGACAGCATTCCACAGTGTGACTTGCATGCAACCGTTTTGATAAGTAGTGCCATTTACCTTTTTGACAGATGCACAATGGCTTCCCATTAACTTGTGCCAAACAAGTAGAGTTGTTGATACATGGGTTGTAGGGGGCATCACATGGGTTGTAGCGATACTGGCAAGTCCTTCCAATATAAAATGGAGGGCAAACACATAGAAATTGACCATAGACAGTGGACTCGTGGCAGGTGGCTCCATTCAGGCATGGTTCAGAATCGCATTCATTTATATCTTCGCTGCATTGCTGCCCTGTCCAGCCTGCTGCACACAAACAACTAAAGGGGGAAGAGAGAGGATAATGAAAAGAGGTGAAAACAATCTTTTTAAACAACAAAAAACATAAACACTTGCAGCAGCCTCCTATATCTGCCCCATTGCTTTGATCTGTGTTTTCAGTACTGAATTACAGTTTCCCCAGGGTCTTTTTCCTCAACAAGTAAAAATAAAGCTTGCTACATAGAACAAAGGAATTCATATCTGAGAAAGAGAAGGAGAAAGTGCTTAAAAGTAAAGGGAACAATGTGACATATAAATAAAAAAGCTGCTCCATCATCACGCTCAGTGTTAACTGACTTCCACATGCAGAAATGGCCACACAAATAGATAAGTATGTAAAATGTGCATAGTTTGCTTTCCCATCATTTAGGACCCCACAATGGCTCAGTTGCAAATTCAATTTAGAACAGTATAAAAATACCAATAATCAGTCAAATAAAACAAGAAATTAATTATAGCAGCACAGTCTTAAAGAAAATAAATAGGCAGTAGCTAAGAGTACTGGTATATGAATATTTTCTGCCATTAAAGGCCATTAGGCTTAGCATGTCAGATGAAATGTAGCAATGATGGTGCAAAGCAAATGTGCTTGGAGAGAACGTTCCATCATAGGCCATATCTGCACAACGGTATCATACCACTTTAAACGAATCCTTGGCACTGAAGTTTGCTAAGAGTTTGCTAAAAGTTATTAGGAGAGTCCTATTCCCCTCACATAGCTACAGTTCTCTGAGTTGATTAACAATCAATCCATCTCAGAGAATTCTGGGAAATGTAGCCTCCTGATTTTTTGATTTTTTTTATTTTGAAAGAAAGAAAGAAAGAAAAGTATTTGTGTAGTTTCATCAATTCCACGAGAAGCTACCTAAGAAGCCAATGTATATTTCTGGCACATCCTCATGGTGCTGAGATTAGATTGTAAAGGTGGTCTGAGAGAAAGGTGGGATCTGAACACAGATTTAACCAAGTTCAGCTATTTTCCCACTTGAGCCTAATTCAGGGAAGATGCAAGTTGTTTTCAGGAACTCACACAATAAGCAGAAAACTTGCACCAACTGAGCCTGCCTTGTTGTTCTCTGCCAGCCACACATAGGGGCAAACACCTGTAAAGGAGAATCCAATGTGCACAGGCTAATCGGAACCCTGATTGTGCAGTTATGAGGAGAGTCTATTTGTACACAGAGGCTTTTCTGTACAGACGTTTACCCCAAATCTTGGAAGATAGGAAGGTGACAGGACTGCCAGAGTAAGTGATGATAAAGATGGCCCTCAATCTGAGTGTGTGACCCCCCCCCCAAAAAAGCCACCCCTTCTATTGTTTGCATTTTCTCTCATTGTTGGATGTATCCAACTAAGAACTGACCAACCGGGTGTGATTCACCTTGCACAATGGGGCTTTACCCCACACTCCCTTCCCCAAGCCCCCCACAATTGGTTCTGGTGGGGGTCAGGAGAATGACAGCACAAGGAGGGAGACTGTTCTGTCTGCTAAGCTGAAATGCTTGCGGATACAGAGCATTCATCATAGTGCAACGTTGAATGCTACCCAGTGAAATGAATGAACCTAAGTTACGGCTCGTCTACACTCACACTTGTCCAAGCGGTTTTCTTTTTGCCCTGACACTTTCCTTGGCAAAATCCACTATTTAGCACTGAATCAGATCCAACAACTATCTGCAGGAAACCTGTTTGATGTTTGCTCCAATTCAGCGGTAAAGATCAGGTTTCCCCGGGGGAAAGCAGAGGGAAAAGTGGAAGTCTAGTTGAGTCCTTAGTCCATTCATTTCAATGGGCCGGCTGTGAGCAGACCTAGCATCCCCTGTGAGTTGTACCCAATGCTGTGCCAAAAGAAGTCTGCTAGTGCAACGGGACTTCAGTTTCCTCTTCTGCCCCCCACATGCCCCTCAGAGTCTGCTCTAGATGGTTCCCTCCCTCAATAGTTTATTTGGCTGGTTCCCGAAGGGCCATAAGGGACAGGAGAGGAAAAAGAAACTGCATTGCACAAATGGAAGTCCCTTGTGCCAGTAGAGCTTCAGCACTGGATATGGCCCTGAAATGTTCCCCAGCCCCTTCAATCTCTCTTTCACTCTCAAACACACCTACCCCTGCATGTCAGCGTCTAGAGCAGAGTATACGTAGCCTGGCTTCTGAACTATAAAACTTTCCCTAAGATCTATGAAAGACAACATTGATGAGACTGCATGCCCTAATTCAATTGACACAAATGTGCCGTGTACTGATCACCTTTATTACTTCTGCTCTCTAAGTGTCCTGATGACAGTCACAGCATGTTAGAAAGCCGCCACGTGCGCTGACATTTCCAGTGCATTTTGAACGGAAACTTGACACATCAGAAGCTCCTACATATTAGAAGGCTGCTGTTTCTCCACATTTGAGCACTGGGAGAGAAAAGGAGGAGCGTGTAGGGCTGAATTACAGAACAGAATATCTACATTTTCAGCATGGAATGAGGGGACTTGCTTTTCAAAGCCTGCCCTTCTCTAAGATGCCTTGCAGTTAATGATGCAGATGAGGATAATGAGATGCACCTGTGTTTCCTCTCCAAATAACCCTCATGGCCCTGCTTATAATGGCACTTCCCTACTTGGCTTCTTTTAATTTTAATCAACACTAACTATCTGGAAGCATTTGTTGCCGGTGTGGTGTGCCAAAATAAAATAAACATATTGATGTATGCCTTTTGGAAGGAAAGGACCTTTTTCTTTGTTCTGTGCTTCCCTCAGCTAAAAATGTCATGTGTGTCACCCATATTGGAAGAAGTAAACAGCATTTTTCTTCTCCCTATCTCAATGCTGTTGGAGTTATACGCTGCCCTTTTGTCCCACAGCCAATGTGAAGCGTCACAAACGATGCCACAAAGTGAAGCATGAGACAGGCCTGAGATCTAGAGTGCACCCTGCAGGGTTTTTTAAAAGCTATTGCTGCTGTTGTTACTGCTTTTCAACTCCTAGGTGCCTGTGCATGTGAGCAGAACAGTCCAAATGTGTTCATCAATTTAAGTAGTTGGCAAGGACTATTTCTCCATAAATGCCACCATTAACATGTGGGGGTAGGATGCCTTCAAATAAACACAAATCATAAGCGGCAGTGGATGGTGTGGTGGGGCTGCACCCTTTACCTGATCTCCTTCTGGCTCCAGTGAGCGGGGGTCGCTCTGGTGGTGCACCCCCCCAGCATACCCGCCCTGGGCGCCAACAAGAAATACTCCACTGCTTTTTCTAGCTGCGACATAATGAAGACTCCTATCTTCAGTTGCAATCTGAATGCATGACTTGAAAACGTGTATACAAAACAGAACACTGGACCTGCTCTAACAAATGAATAAATCAGCCGTATGCACAGCATCGTTTGGGGACTGAAAGAAAACGAGCAGGGGCTAGTTAGGCTAGTTGTATGCCTTCAGCCCTGATCTCCTTCCTAACAGAATCCCCATGTGACTTCATTTTGCATGCCTCCCTATTCCTAAGTAACGCCAGTCTCTCCCCTTTTCGATCACCGGGGCTACAATTTACCGTTACACAGAGCTGCTGGAACTGCTTAATGAATCATTGGCTTGTTGTTTGCAATAATGTCATATTTCTGTTTGCTGAGACAAAGAGCTGTGAGGTGTTTATTACCTTGGAAATTTTCAGCACTTTTAAAAAAAATATCCCAGATTGAAAAGCAAATGCAGTTAATTGCCTGCCAAACAAAATCTGCTGCAGGTAGCGGCAGAAGATGTTTTACATTAGAAAGAAGTTGCCAGATTTTGACAAAATGCCCTTGCGTAGCCAGCAGAGCTAACCGTACCAAGTCCTTCTGGAAAAGCGACTTGCATCCCATTGTCTGGTGGGATATAAACAAAAGCTAATGGGCTTTTTCGAGTTTGATGTTTCTTCCAAGCTTGCTGAAGGATCAATCAAAGTACTTGTTTTTGCCGTAGCTACAGGCTCTTCCACAATACAAACTGTTCAAGGCTGCAGTGCTAGAATGCAACCTCCAATCTGCCTGCTCTTAAACATTCCAAGTGCAGAAAGTAGGTATCTGGGTTAAACTTCTCTCTCCAAGTTGAATACACTAAAATGTTCTCCTTCAATTGCAACCACCTCATCTTTCCATAATCTGCACTTCAAAAAGCCTGCATTGGGAAGATGAGGAAAAACAACCCATCCATTCGCCACCTCCATAGGACAACAAAGCTGCTGAAAGTAACTGTGTCAAGTGCTCATTCAGCAACCATTCACTGTATACAGTGGTGCCTCGCAAGACGAAAATAATCCGTTCCACGAGTCTCTTCGTCTAGCGGTTTTTCCGTCTTGCGAAGCAACCCTCTTAGCGGATTAGTTTCATTGCAAACCACCATTTTGGACAAATCTAAGATGCCGGCTATCAGAACCATACATGGCTGAAACATGCTTAAATAACCTAACAAGGACCATTTGAAATAAAGGCACACATGTTCTGCTATGTAAAAAACGTTCTAAAAATAAGCAAATCTAGAGTAACTTCTCTAGTCAGGCCACACAACTGAGCCAGCTCTCCAGGAGATGGTTTCCTGGGTTCTGTAGTTTTGTGCCAGATAATTAGTTCAAAATTCACACATTACAGGAAGGATGGTGAGGGCCTCAAACCATTGTGTAGTAGACAGTGGGTATTTATCCTTCTGGGGTCAAAATATAAGGATCTTGACAGCTCACAAAATCCACATTTGTTGTCCTATTAATCCCATTAGTACAGGAATCTAATTCAAGAGTGGATGGACATCTTGTATATCAAATATTTTGAGAGTACAGAATTGATATGGACTATTTAAGACCAAAAAAGAATCTGGACATGCCCACGTTTTATGCCTCAACAAGGAATTTCCAGGATTATATCTCCAGTCTTAGACTGTGCTTTTGGCTTAATATTAATTATTTCTGCCTTTGCCCCAGTATAAATTATTTATCTTTTGCTTATATTTCTACAGTTACTCATTCTACAGTTTCAAAAATTGATG